ATTGCTCGTCTCTAACTGCCGCGGTGGTCCCTCACATACCCCCAATATGCACGTACGTAAAAATAGAATATTGATTTACCACCACCTAAACTGGTAATATTCCTCTTGCACCTGGGCAAGCGAAAAACTAAAATATACTAAGCCAAATCCTACATGACCTATAATATTACATGATCTGTTAAGAACGGTGATGGCTAAACGGTGAGGAATTTACTTAAATCGTTTGAAATAGGAAACTGTTGTTGTTGTTGCTATTTTCCGTTAAAGAACTGACACTGTTTCAAATGCCCTTAAATCGATAAAAGAAAATGTTGGCGCATGCAAAAAGTTGTGTACATGTGTTGTAACGTAGTTGTGTATCGCTTGTGGACCAGACCCCGGTCTATAACAACATGGGGTTGATATCAAACCGATATACAAATTAAGAGCATGTAAAGAGGGCGGAGGTTGTTGGAACGACCCATTCGAATGTCACTCGTAGTTTGTATGTGGTGTCGTTGATTTCTCGTAACGGTCCGCTGTATTTGCACTCGTGTTCTGCCAGTCCGTTCCGATAAATGCGAAAAAATTTACCCTCTTATCAACTAGAGCACGTGTAGAAGGGTTGTCGCTTGCGTTTTATGGCAACGGTTCGTGATCGCGTTATAGGAGATGTACTCGAATTGATTTAAATCAGTTAGCAAGGTAACTAGTAAATTTTGACAAGAAGAAGCTGTAGCTAGATATCAACAAAATCAATTTTCCAAAAAAGCAACCACTAGCAATACTTATCAAGGGTTGCTCTGAAAGATTAAAATCACATCTGAAGTGTCTTGTTTTTACTTTTCTTCAAGACTAGGATTGATACCGTGATGGACTATTGTTGATCTTATTCTGCCCGTTATACCTATGATGTTGACAGGTTGAAGTTTCTCCCTATTAAAGAAAACGGTTGTGTCAGGAATCAGATTTTGGGAAACACTAAAGAATCATTATGATGTAACTGGTGATTTTGTGATGTGTCTTCTTATTCTTCCTAAAATCTCTGCGATAATAACTCTCCACAACTTCTTAAACAACAGCTTTTCTTTCTAATTTATCGTCTCTTCTAAAGCTCTAATTGAAGGCTCATGGCTTAGGTGTTTGCGGAAGTGATCGTTTAAGAGAATATCTTCCTTCTGTTTGCATTCCCATAGGTAATACTTACGGATCAGTTTTCATCGGTCAGATTACCGATTGTGGTTTTTGCGTATCCACGTAATTTGGGATGAAGTTAAGGATATGCTGTTGCGGGGAATGGATAAACAACACCGCAGACAAGTGGATTTGAATGGAAATCAGATACTTACCAACTGGTAGGGTGAAGAAGGGAGGTGATTGCACCTTCGGGGTGAACCATCGAAGCGTGCGTAGTTCAGCTGTTATTATGACGGCCGCAAAACAACGGCGACGGGGGCGTTGTACCCTTTGAAGGAATACGCGTTTTCCGCATACATTGGCTACCCTTCGGAGATGGCTCACAACTATTTACACCCATTTGACACGGGGTGCATCACATACAATTTAACCCAGTAGTAAATATCATCGTGAATCTTGAAGAATCTCGACTTCAAAGGCAGCCTGCTTGAAGATCCCCTGAAGTTTAATTGATTTATGGTCTAATAATGCAACACTACCCTGTGATAAGACATTTCTCACTAAACAATTTCAAGTTAACCGTTAATCGAAAATTTTTATAGTCATAGCTCATATACAGGTATGAATTTAAGAAAGGTCACTCATTCAGTTTTAGATCAAATGTTGGAATAGTTTCAGTACGAAATATGAATATGTGGGAACTATAGTGTTGTAATACTGTTAACAATGATTTGGTCGTGGAAGTGGAATTATCAATTAACGAATAAAGTGCATTTTATCTCTCCTTGACGAGAACGCTGATTTCGATAATGTGGCCGAAAAAAAAAATTAATAACTAACAATGAATCCTCTTGAGAAATTCTCTCGCAACGTTTTGTCGTAGTTTCGATAAAAGCTACGAGATTGTAAGATTTATGACTTATTTTGTAATATTAAATATTTCGTTAGCACGACTTCATCGATGAGCGGAACAGGGAATCACCGAGTTGTTGCCTTTTTTTACGCAACACAAGTCTACAAGCTTTCTACCGATTACACTTCTGTGCAATCTTTAAAATTACGTCGAAAGATTAATCTGCTTTGAAATACAGCAATATAGGACCCATTTTGACAACATCTTTAAAATAACGAAAAATCTTGAGTCACTTCTTCATTATCGCACGATAATCGAATAGCATCACTACCTTCAAGATATTCACCTCTCACTATTGTCAGGGTGAGGAAATCCTTTTTGCATTTTCTTCAACGATGCATCATCAAGGATGCAGTCACAAGAACGTAAATAGATCCTTAGAGTCAGTGTAAAGTTGTTTCGTTGTAATTGGCAACTATTTGACATCATATTGGTCGCAATGCCCATGTATAGGAAAGCAACTGAATGAATATTAATAAATCTAGATCCAATTAGCTAACGACAAGTATATAAAATCATAGGTGATGGTGATAAAAATACACGGGTCATTGCCTCTTCTTTCCAGGCATGTTTGTGTTGGAATCAATAAAGCTAAAGCAATTTCTCTGAAATGGTCGACCGACAGAACGAGCGTCGTTAAAAATACGTTTCGAAGGAATTTTGAATCGAACGTAAGCAAACAACACATGGTTTTCGACAAAATACTAGACAAGCACCGACTTCCTGTTCGGCCAATGCAAATAACACAGACACCTTCTTTATGATACATGTATGTATTTTATCTGGTATAAACCATGTGGGTATGGGAGTGATGAAGTGAAGAAAAGGTACTTACTAGAAGGTTAGGTTATGATTTTTGGCGTGCGTGAGGTCAACTCAGTAATGTATTGGGTTTTCTCTAATATTATAAATAACGACCAGCTTCTTGTGATTTACGTTATTTAATGCGATACCAAGCAAGATTGTGCCAGCGGACTGCACTTTTACTATAGGTAATGATGAGAAAGAATCTTGTTCTAACGCCAACCCAGAGTTCAATTCAGGTTCTGCTCTTGTTCTCTCAATTTCTCTCAATATCCTATCGCAATTTGTTTAGTGGTTTTTGAATTGTCATCATAGAGTCGCCAATTCTACTCCTTCCTATCCTGAGTTGATCATTACGTCTTCCTAAAACTAGAACATCTTCGACTATTTTTGGAAAGTAATCTAATCTAGGTCCTCCTCCGCTTTTTTGTACTTCTGTTTCTAATTGTATTTTTTAAGAATGTACACAAAAATCATAACATCGTATTAGTGGAAGTTGAGCCAAAATCCAGTCGAAAATTCCAATTTTAGAGAAATCTATGAATGGACAAACATCTTCAGGTTGTAATATGATAATTCCGTCAGATGGTCATGTCATCCACGCTAATTATTTCCTCTCATCATTCAAACTTCTAACATAAAGATATTTAATGTTAGCTCTTTTCAATAACGTTCGGCAACATTCTTTTCGGTGTACTCCGTTATCAGTTAGTGAACTGTGCATTTTTGCAGTGGAACAGCTACATACTTCCGATGTCACGAATGCGAAACAGCTGGCCGTCTGTATCCCTTGTACTAGCCTTCGTGAATATGTCTAACTACCCCCGCTACAAGGAAAAGCTCTCGAGGGAAACTCGGTATTTAAGGGCTTTACGGTTTTTCAGGAACTGTCCGTAAACGTATAGTGGCATTAGCTCATAAGACAATTACTCTTGGGCATCAGCAGTTTTTCCGATCAAAGAAAAAAGGAGCTTTATGCGAATTACAGTTTTTATCATTTTGAACTACTTCCTTTAGAGGGTAACCGTTAAAAAGGTGCATACCTTCTCAAAAAGTAATATAATTAAAGGAATCTGACGAATAATAACGAAACGAAATCGCAGATACTTAAAAAAATAAACGTCCAGGTGGTACGTTTGGATTATTGTCATTAACACTGTCTGTTTAGGTAATCTTTGTATGTTCTGTTCCATTGCCACTGATGATAAGTTTTTGCTCATCCTCTATCCCCCCTAAACCCACGTAGTGTTCACGGGATGTAGAAAAAATCGTATATTTTTCAGGGTTGGCAACAGTGCGCTACCCGAAAAATCTGCGTCGCCTAAGAATCAGAGCCCTAGCAGCTGGTAGGATCAATACCGCGTGCTATTGGTTTTAGTCATTACTGTGCTGGAGGCAATCGAAATAAGCGCAGGCTTGGCTTGGTTCGTTTCGTTTCATGTTTAACGATAGCCGACGACGCTACCGTAGGTCTGCGTTTGTTGCGGACAACGTAGCATCGTCGGCTGATATTTGGGGTAGAGGTAGAGGAAGGATGAGGCAACCGACATGCAACATTTGCGTTTGTCGGTCCCGTCCGTGGGAATTTCAGCGATTTTCGAAACAGGATTCTAGTTCGTCAAGTTGCTTGCTTGTGTGTTGAATAGGAGGAATCCTTTTGAACGCTTACAATGACAACTAAGGGAGTCTCTAAATGTAGGTCAGTGCCCTTCGATTTGTGATGGGGCTTCCTTTTTCATATTTTTCGGCATCATATCTTCTATGACAAACAGATACAGGAGATGCAGGATTTCATTTGCCAAACAGTGGATGTCAATGGAAAATGCTGATGGTGGAAAAATGATGAACAATTTTTTATTATGCCTTTGTCTTAAACCTAGATAATTTCCAAATTTCAACTGCTTGTACTTTTTCCAGCATGTTCTGATCGTTCTGTTCTGGACCCGTACATATTCTGGTGAATTGACTTCTTAATACCATAAAACTTCTTTGGGTTTTCTGTAGAGCCTTTATTTTCTTTCTTCCCACTTAATATTGTGTCTCCAGTTATTCAAACTTTCGCGCCTTTGCGTAATGGCTTCGCCATTGGTTTTTGGCATACCCCCCAGTCCTCCCTGCCGTGCGCCGTGCTGCAGCATGCGCGCGCTTCGTGTTCCGCTCATCCCAGCTCAGTACTGACCGGCAGCGGTCATGATAACTTCGCCCTGCTTGTTGACGGGTGTGTCGTTCTCTCGCAATCGTGTTAGTGCTGAACCTCTTCGGTTCGGCAACCCGCCGCCTTCGACCTATTACCACCAGTCGTTTTCCGGTATCAGCAGGGTTGAAGTTGTGTCTTTGCTGTCGGTTGTGCCCGTGGTGAACGCCTGGGGTTCGGATTACGCGTCCTTATCGGCGCATCTTCATATCCTGCACTGGGAGTTGCTCTTGGGGTTTGAGGGTAGTAGCGTCGCACGGTTACGGCAACAACAGCAGTTGCACGAATATCGCAGACGCAGGGCTACGCCCGCTCCGCATGTTGTCTCCGGACTCTGGAATACGCTCGCCGTCTTCCAGCCTAGTTCCAGGACGATTAGGCCTACTATGGAAACGAGGTAGAGATTTGTTTTGTTACACTTTGGGGGGCCCCTAAATATTGCTATTAAACTTATCACCGACTATAGAACTTAAATCCAAAATGCTACTCTTGTCCACAATCCAATGGATAATTGACACAAGAACATGATGAACCTTACAAAGTTATTCTTAACTGACCATGAAACTGATGTTTAGCTGTTCCTTTGAAAATAGTTAATGGATGAGTAGTAACTCTCGCTGTATTACATGTTACAGTGACTGTCTGGTAATTAATATTGCCAGTGTTATTACTCTTGTTCAAAGGGCAGTGATGTCGAGGCTTCGAAAAATATTAATTGCTTTTATTAACAGTAATACAATTGTTAGTGAGGCTCTTGGTAAATTAAGTATGTTCTATTAATATAATGAAAGAATGGAGTTTCTTACAGTGGTATATATTTAAAGTAAATTATTGTTTACGCTTAAAAGAATCCATTGCATTCAATTTTTGACGATATATTGTGGGATAAGCGACAATGGTTTCCTCTTTTTGTTGTCGAGGTATTCTTGAACGTGATGCCATTGTTCTTTGTGTGAGAAATACCAGCTGCATCGAAAAGCTGCTCGTCTTCTTTACAGAAGAAAGACCATTGCTTTTGCCAATATTCCCTTAATCTCCTTTGAATGAAAACGTCATTTTTAAGAGAAATTTTAGTTAACTTGCATTTTTCCATCGATCGAAGTGATAGTTCTTTGTATGATTTAATGTTGTAATGTGTTGGCTTCATTCTTTAGTAAGCCTTCCAAGTTTTAATATAGCAGCTGTTATAACTTTTTCTCCCAGACGAACGTCCCCAGACGTTGCATTGAAGTGGCTGATTTTGCCATTCGTATTTCGTACTCCTGATTCCCCAGAGAAGTGCTTGTAGATGTAAGTTCCTGTTTACTAGCTCACTGACTGCTTACCTTCTTTTGTACTTCTCCGACCATTTAGAATAATAAAACAATGAGGATTCAAGTACTCATTGCAAAACAGTACGGTGCAATGTGTTCATTTACCATGAAGGCAATTCCAGTCAAACTGGGTACAGACTACACATTTTGACCCTGAACTCCCATTGCCTCTTTCGTCATCATCGTCTTACGCCGACTGGATTGCTTATTAAAGTCAAACAGATTATGAACATAGAACGACCACATGATAGAATTATTCAATTTGAACTATTTCGTAAGATATCATCGGCTTCCATTTTCTATTTCTGTGCTTGACTAAAAATGAACAATATAAAACATATATATACGTATGTGTTATATATATATTTATGTTTTTGTATACTTCTGAATAAAGTGAAGGCTTTATCTGTGAAATTTGAATGGACTGTAGTTATGAATCGTCATTTGACTTTTAAAATCATTAGCGTCATAGAATCCTTTTATATCGGCCTTGACTATGAATTACTGTCTTTCTGCATCATCATTCCTGCTTTTAGTTTTAACTGACATTTGCTATTATATTTAAGTTATTAATTATTGTTTTTCTTCTACCGTACATTGTCCCCGCGACCTTTCGATATTTACTTACATGTTTGCATTTGAATAAACTTTATAAACATGTGTATATGAAATGTCAGTTGAAATTTAAAAAGTTGTAACTTATTATGAGATATATTACTGACCTTTTCGAGCTTTCAAAGAAATCGATTTTTTAAAATTGTTTTCCATTTCCCGTCTTAAACATAAGTAATAATGTAATAATCTATAAATGTTAAGTATAGGCAGTTACGTTTTGGTATACATTTGTAGGTACAATACGTAGTTTCGCCATTTGTTAATTTCTATGCGGCGGAAATGCGTCATAACCTTGGAGGCTACTTTTTCGATTTTATCAAAACCTATATAACGATTTCTGCCATATTTCTTACCATTAAACTAAGCAAACATTCGAATAAATATCATACTAATCGTGAGATTATGGTAGCTACATAAAATTATTTTGATCGGCAACTTTCGACTGTGAATATTGTCGCGTAATAAAACACCTTCCTAACTATTACTAAATTTATTTAATAATTTACTCTTTATTCAACACTATATCGCATACTTTGTTACTTCTTTGGTTTTTCTACTTCGCTTTGGATCGCCTCGTAACTCAATATTGTACTAACTCCTCTCCCGACCTGGTGGCAGTTATAAGGACTCGTCATGTTCTTGAACGATCCCGAATGTAACGTCTAGAAAATCCGATCTTTGTCACCATGTATGTTAGGTTGCATACACGGGACACTGTATGTTGGATTGCCTACATACATGTGACACTGCCCCCTCTTCTAAAACTGATCATCCCGATCGATAACGTTGCCTCTATAGGGAGCAGGCCGGTAAAATTGGAAGATCTCCATTTTCGCCCAAGGTCCCTTCTGAATTCGATCAACCACGTCATTGATACCTCTAGTAACGGTGTATGGATCATACCAAGAGTGTAGTAGTTTCTGGCAACGTCCCTTCCACCTTGGTGGATTATATAGCCATACTTTGATACTTCATTAAACCCACCAGAATTGGCTCGTCGATCGTATCTGGTCCTTGTAGTTCGCCTGCGTATTCATCTGTAGATACTGGAGAGTCTCCAGGACGACCAAGCATCATGTCCGCTGGCAACCTGAGTTCTTTCTCAAACAAAATGCTAATCGGTGTTCTTCTAATTGTCTCCTGGATGAGGGATCTATAAGCGAAGGATAGTGGTATGTGTCGGTCCCAGTCACTTAGATGTTCGTTGACGACGCTTTTTAGAGTGGTCTCCAGAGTGACTTTAAATCGTTCTACCATTCCATCAGACTGCGGGTGTAAAGGCGTAGTCCTCGGTTTTGTGATGCCCATTAGTTCAGTGACTTTCTTGAACAAAGCCGATTTGAAGTTGTTGCATTGATCGGGAATGATTTTCCAGTTGGACTCCATATCGGATCTTCCTGTTATTGACAAACTTCTCAGCAACGGTGTATGTTTTCTTTTTCGTTATCGGATATGCTTGGGGCCAAGCTAAAGTAAAATCCATGACTACTAAGATGTATTTGTTACCGGACTCTGTCACAAGGAATGGTCCTGCTACGTCAACTACGATTCTCTCAAATGCATTGTACTGCTGCATTCGTCCACGACTTCTTATCTTCGGTGCCTTACCGGCGGTGTATGTCCTCCACATCGCTTCTACTTCGCTCGCGCACCTTCCTTAGAGTCTTCGTGATTGTCCTTCGCCATGGATTGTTTCTAACCCTTCTGAAATTCTTTTCCTCGGAAGTACCACTTCGAGTTTGTTTCTGGTTCCATCTGGACTCTTCTGCATTCTCTGCGTGGCCAAAGATAAGGAAAGTCTATTGGGCCCAACACCTCTTTGTTATCTGGCCTGCGATGGTTGTCACGAAGGTGCATCTTCTTTTGGTCTCATTAATGGGCCAGTATATTCGCCCTTCCTCTTGTCTTCGATTAATTCTTTATCTTCCCAAGAGCTCTCAGACAGAATGGTGGTTAGGTTACAACAGATCGATGTCATTTCTTTCTTCTCCCCAGGTGAACAATGTTTGTAGTTTTCCATGCAAGGTCTCCGGAATAGTGCATCTGCGTTGTCCTGTTGTTTGCCTGAGCGATTCTCGATATCGAAGTCACGTTCCTGCTATTGCTGTAACCCTTGTGATATCCGTCTTCCGACTGTTTCTTTGCCGAAAGACCGTATATTATGTAAGGGGCATTCTTGACTTGGTGATCAATTCTTCCACAATTCCAGCACTTCGGACGACCACTGTAATTCTTCCAAATTGAAACGTAACAATCAGTCCTTCCACATTTTCAATATTTTGGAATTCATTCTCTTGGGGGGCAATCTCGATTTATGTGACCTAATCTTCTGCAATTCCAGCATTTTAGACGACCACTGTAGCTCTTACATTCTCTACCAAAATGACTAGTCTTTCTACATTCCCAACATTTCGTTTGCATTATTTGATGAGCGACACGATACAGTGCTCTGTAGTTGTGCCGTCGTAGATTTCGGTTTGTTGCACCTGTACATGGTCCTTGGAAGTTTGTTTCGCCGCTTCATCTAAGTCATTGAACAGTGCTTCACTTGGACTTTTGTGGCGTGATAGTCTGAGAACTTGTTGTAGTTCACCATCCATGACTCTATCGATGAATGTTTGCACAGTTAGTTGGTCTATGAACTCCTTAGGGGCAGATGGATATGCTAATCTTACAAGACGCTCCACGTCGGGTTGAAATTGTTGAAGAGACTCATTCATTGATTACGGCTTTTCAGCTGCGTCTGATGTACTTCTTGTAAATGTTTATCGCCGCATCTCATTTCTAGACGGTTGCACCGGAATCGTCAGCTCTCTCAGAAGTGGGTAGTTTTAGCTTTTTAATTTATTCCCTCATTTCTCCTCTTATGTCTTTGATCTTTTCCAGCTCATCTCTAATATTATTTCTTCTTTATCTTTCTCCATTTTTTGTGTCATTTCCACTTGCCCAGCATTTATTTCTGGCATCAGTGCTATTAAAGCTTTTATTTGTTCCTCCAATTAGGCTTCGGTACCGCTGGTTGTAACAGGCATGAAAATTTTCGATTTCATCTGAAAAGTTCTATGAGATTCTTCGATTCTGTCAAAACCGTTCATTTTCTTTGCTAGCTTAAGGATGATGCATGACTTGCTACGGTTATTCAGGATCCGAAAATATTTATCTCGAAATGAACGAATAACATACCCTCAACTATTACAAACTCAGGATACTATACCTGATGTTTACTTATAAGAAACAATCCTTTAGTATTAATGGTTTTGGTAAAAAAGTTCTTTTTCCTTCAACAGCTGTGGCAAACATCATCGTGGCATATTACTCGGTGGAGTAATCTTTCCCATGACTTTGCGAAACCGATATTGATGTCCTACGATTAATTTTGGTAAAATCCTTCAGACCTAGAGTTGCTTTTGCAGAATTCTGTCCAGTAGGAGTACCTATGTACTTGTTATGAGTTGTGAGAAATGGTTGT